ATGTAAGGGACTCCAGAAAAACACCAACTTTCAGTGGGTCCAGGAAAATGTTAGAAGGTTCCACATTTGTCACACGTTATAGGATTTCTCCTGCACTACTGGAAAATGCAAGGAAATCTAGGATCTCAGTTGAGCACTTGGTATCTGTCAAAGTTTCTAGGAGGATCTTTAATGAACAACTGTCAAATCAGAGATCTCCTAGATATGCTGACCATTTTGTAACTTCTGCTGGACAACTAATTTCTGAAAGGAATTCAAAACGTTCAGTTGAACGGTTAACACACACCAGGAATTCCAGGATTTCTGAACGATTGGCATCTGACACAAACTCAAGGCACTCAGTTGAGCGATTAACGTCCAGAAGAGATTCAATTAGGATTATATCTGAGAGGGATTTTAGATATTCAGTTAGACTTTCCGCATCAATCAGAAACTTCAGGACATCTGCTGAACGTTTGATATCTTATACAGAATCCAGGCACTCATTTGAACGCTTTGCACCTGTAAGAGCTAACAGAAAGACTGCTCATAAGGGAGATTCTATTTCTTCAGTTGAACATTTGACATCAGTTAGGAAGTCCAAGATATCTGCAGAACAAACGTTAGAAAGAATTTCTAGATGCTGGGTCAAGCATTTGGCATCAGTCATAATGTCCAAGATTTCTGCTGAACGACTGGCATCTAATAGGCACTTGATTGACCAACTTGTATCTGTCAGAGATTTCAGAAGATCCACTGAAAGGAATGTTAGACAATCAGATGGGCGTTTGGCAACCATGATGGATTCCAGAATTTATGCTGAAAAACTGGCTACTAAAAGGGATTTCAGACGTTTTGAGAGTCTGACTTCTCTAAAAAATGCTCAAAGAAAGCCAACAGAAGGTGCATCAATTGTAAGGAATTCTAGGAGGACAACAGTAAACCAGCTGAGGAATTCTGTAAGGATTGCACATGAAAGGCAATCTTTATACATAAAATCTTCACCTGACAGACTAGCAAACAGAAGATTAATGAGTACTGCATTTAACAGATTGACCAGGCCCATCTCTGACCGCCATGTCTCTCAGCTAAAACCTATCTCTACCATCCATATCACTTCAAAGATTCTAAATGATCATGGTATCATGAGGATGTCAAATGTGAGAAACACTGGATTGCCTGATGGATACATCTCAAATAATCAAACTCTGGATCAGGGTTTGAGACTTTCTGAGAAACAATTTAAGGCCACGGATAACACAACACTGAAGACTGAATCATCCACAGATATTGGTTTGCTATTTGGAAGTGTGCAGACGTCTACTCTCAGTCCCACTCAATTTTCCAGCTGGTCTGATAAGGCCATTGAATACACAAAATGTGGACTGACTACTTTGACTATGATGTGGCCCTCAATAGCAATATGGAAGGGAGAAACTCTGAAATCCCTTGCAGGCTTCGATGTTATATCAGCATTCTCCTCCGAGATGGACCATTTCAACAATTTCTTTGCTGACAAGGTACATTTTACAAATTTCTAATAAATGATAATGGTTTACCAGTAAAATAGAGATAAAACTGTTCTTGTCTAAGCTCAACATACTAAATGTGCAGAAGTATAGATGTAAATTTCCACGCACTCTTACACCTTGACACTAACTATTAGTGAGCAGCTTTCCTCTCCAGAAACATTTCCCATAGGCACAGGGAAAGGACCCTTGGTAAACTTATGATAGGAGGCTGAGCGGATCTTAGAGTCATTCTAGACATAGCAGCAAAGAAATCATAGCTTCTTATTTATATGACATTTGTGGCACCAGAATTAGTAATGGAGTAGGTTCTGTCAGAGTACTACAGATCTCAAGTATAACCATCATTCAACACTCCATAACTGTCCAAGTTGTTATGATAAGACCAGTTAGCTGACCAACTCTGGACCTCAGCTGAAGTCTTAACCTCTAACCCTGAATTTTGCCAGAATAAGTTGTGTATTTTAAGAGGGTCAAGGAATGTTCACTGGAGACACTGACCACATTTGTATATAACATAATTAATTTACTGCATATAATAGCTCAATATTGTACTCACCCAGTTTATGTGTGTCCTAACTGGCCAAGGATTTGGCGTCATCCACTCCCTTCAGGACAAATTATTGCTTCTATTCACTTCTTACTGCACTGTACCAGAATTCTCCCCATCACTGCACATAATTCATTAAAAAAGTTAACAAATTAAATAAATAATTTTCATTTAAAGTTATTGGTAAATTACAAGCACAAGTCATGATATGTTTAACTTGCACAAATGACTTCATTTCCTTACAGGTTGGTTACAGGAGTATCCACTATACATATTTACATAGGACCTTCCGGTGGGTCCTTCTATGCTCTGTGAAACGACCAAAACTGGCTGTGCTGCACCATGCAGAAGGTCCTATCTAAATATGTGTATATACAATCTTGCCACCATGGTAATTATGTGTAAGGAGGCTCATGTTTCCATGGTTGCTTAAAAATGTCATTAATGAAAACTGTAAATAAGTAAAAAAAAAATTTAACTGGTATTACAGAGAAAGAAAGAAGTTCAAAGCAAAACTAGCTGACATATCTGAGCAACAAATCTCATTTGTAGCACTGATGTGGTTCAAAACAGACTCTGGATAGTTATAAATACCAATATATCCAGAACTTTATATATTTTACACATGAATGTTTTGAAATGTGAATTACATATCAGTGATGACTAATTCAGTTATGCTCTCAACTTCCAGCCAACCTCCAATTATGCTCATGTACCTGATGACCTGGCCTTCTTTCATTCCACCAAGGCAACTCCTCCTGTCATGAGGTAAATATTAACATTCAGCACTGTCGATCACTGCTTGGTTGTGGTGCAGAACAAAATTTTCTTAGCCTGAAAAAAAGAACAAATACTGAAACTGAACACGTTCTTGGCCAAAATTGAAACTTTCATAATAAACATGAACAAAAGCTGGCTTACATAACAGATCTAGGTTTATTAGTTTTACCACATCATGAACAATCATAAAGCCAGAATCAATGTTGGTAACTTTGACAAGTGTTTCAATTAAAAAATTAGAGTGTGAGAAGACAATTAATATGCATTCTTTTATACAAAGTGATCACATATTTGTCTACACGTTTCATATCCAAATGTACTTACGGTCACTAAAATTTCAATGCAAATTAAATTTTGATCCAGGTCAATCTAATGTAACCTGTAGTTTACATGAACCTCAAATCAAACTTTATAGATTTTATCAAAAGCAATTCATCTTTAAGCAAAACTGGTACATAACATATAATAAGGATATCAATAGGATCTGTTACATAAATTTTAATATTTCAATATAGCAAATATTTAATTAAACATGAGGGAAAATAATTTCTGACTACCTCAAGTGTAATTTGTTTTTCAACAAAAAAATTGTTTCTACAACGTCAAAGTTCATGTGCAATAAAATAACATCAGATTTAATGAGATATTCAAAATTTAAAAGTTAGAAAATATGTGCACTGCACCTTTCCATACTTCTGCTAGAAACTGTCCAGTCATCGAGTTCAGTTTGATCACTTTCCATCATGACTCATTGCAGGGACAGAAACAGAATACTACCTACTGTGATTCGTGGAGGTGTCACTGCAGCATTCATGCTACTATCAACTAAGTCCAAGTAAAGGGCACAACATTCCAGACCTCTTCATCCATGCATGTCCACATGCATTCATTAACACAATATAATTACATAGGTGCTTCTATAGTGTAAATTAACAAACTGATAATATAGTATGTAGAACTATAGCAACGTCTCAAATCATTGTTTAACAGGACAACTCTTCAATATTTACAAGTAACTAGAAGTACTCCTGATGTGATAGTTTGATCTGAGGTGTTCACCACAAGTCTTACATAAAACCAATACATTACATAAGAAGCTATATCTGAAACATCATAGGCCTATAAAACTTACAGAAAAAATTATGGGTCATATTCTTGTTATAAATCCACAATTTTAATCTTAAGACTGAATTTAGAATTCTTGCAGTGGATAAGATCACCTACAGAACAAAAAGAAAAAGACTCTTTTGATATTTTGAACATATATTTGTGTGTATATGAAGGTGGGTTGGATAAGACGACCGTCTTCCGGAATGTTGCTCTGTGTAGTCCCATAGAAACTGATCAACATATCAGAGGAGCTTACTGCCTCTATTATCACCACACTGAGCTGATGATAGAGGCTGTAAGTACCTATTAAATGCTGGTCAATTCTTACCAGACTACACAGTGAAATATCCCATAAATTAGTCATCTACATAATCAACATTGTGAGAACCTGAAATCTCACCTACTGAGTTGAAGAGTAAGTACATACAAAGCAAGTTCATAAATGTTTCAATAAGTATGCACAAATCTTCTGACATATACTTACATTTCTAGTAGAAACACCTTATTGCTGAGAGCCTTTTCTTAGAGAAACACATTAATAAGCAAAGAGTTAACATTAACACTGGGTAAAATCATCACTGATTAGAATTCAAATATAAAAAAGAAATGCTCCTTATAAATTCTAATGGGTCAAATTCTCAAGAAACTACTCTTTCCTAGGTCTTACAACCATTCATTGTTAAACAGTTTCCTGAAATGCGACATCAAACCATAAAGTACTCCTGAAATTATGCATAGATATTTCAAAAATAGTAATTCCAGTAAAATACTGAACTTACTTTAATCTCAAACTTGAACAACGTTTCCTTCACAGTCATACAAGTGGTAAATGTTGGTAAAGATTCTCACACCATTTACTCACATTCAAAATGTACTTCAGAATCTATCAAGATTGTTACTATACCTTCATCTTTTATTCAAAGAAAATTATGGTGATCACAACTTTAAGGTCCATGTCCCATGTCAAACATTACGAACAAAAAAACCACATAAAAATAAAATTAGTTTAACTGGTTTATGAACACTGACCAAGACAAAATATACTTTATATATTAAGATGTTTCTAAGGAATGCATTCACTAGCAAGAGAAAGAAACATACTCTTTGTTTCCTGAATACTGCAACTCCAAAAATATGAAATTGTCCTGTGATATATATTTGCTTACATGTACATTGTAATTTATGTGGATGTTCTACTTGTAGTTGCATTGTTAGAATATTAAATAAAGTGCAGCATTGAAAAGTCCAGTGTGTTGTTTCAATGCAAAATCATCCATAACATGACCCAGGCATAACTGTAGTCATTTCATACCAATGAAGGAATTCAGTTACCACACAAGTGATGTTATTAAGAAAGCACGGACACAAATTTTAAGAGGAGGATGCTGAATAAAATTACTTGACTCACACATGTGAGTCGGTGAGTTGATGTAAGTGAAAACCAAAGGACAAGATTTTGCATATTTAACCTTCAGAAACTAAAGCTCATATCAACAATATTTAAAAATTCAGTACCTGCTTCTAAGAAAACATGTCTCCATTACAAAGATCAACTGGTTAATTCTGTCTAGGGAAAACAATTGCTGTTCATTCTGAGAATCACAAGAAACTCATAAACATACCTTGAAGGGAAAATGCAGACTCAATGATTAAAGCATGTGGTACATACTGTTACCACCAAGATTTAAAAGGTTAATACATACAAATCTGTGAAAGCAGTCACCTAAAATGTGTGCATTCTTTTCAACTACTGCCATATTTTAGGCTTTAAAAACAATGTGCATTTTGGTATCTCAAATACATTCTTTTCATGGATACATGGGCTATTTGTCAGCTTACCTGCCCCTCTCCCAATCTGTAATCAATACATCTATCCACTCACATGTAGAACCAACTTCATGTTCCACGAAATATACACAAGACAAGATATATTTGAAATGTACTGAGAAATGCAATAAAACCACTCACAAGGCATTCATAACAATTGTAAACAACCATTAACTTACCAGTACAGGTTAATACTGCAGCACAGAAGATAGACACACTACACACATTACCACATGACAAAATTAAATATTCACACTCTTTTAGTAAACAGCTGATGATGTATTTTTCTTATGCAGTAACTTGACTTTGACCA